GGGCTCCGCCCCGTTGCCCACCGTTACCCGGAAACAAAAACGGTTATGCTACACGGTCCGTCGTGCGTGTAGAGTACAAGGGTGAACAAGAGAAGAATAAGGAAATGGATGCTACGAGGACAGACTGAGAATACGATAAAGCTAGCGTGCACACAGAAGAAGATCTGATGACGAGGGGCACGGAATCCCGACAACACCAGGTCAAACCTAGTCCGTAACCAGGCCAAACGAGTCGGCGAACAGCTATTGCGAGGGCGGCACCCACGCCGGCCCTCCCGCCCCGCCCGGGAACATCCTGGCCCCCGCGACCGGGCCGTTCGAGAATTGCGACGGCTGCTGCTGGATCGAGGACGTGGACGACGATGAAAGTGCCGACGCGAGTTGAGGCGGTGCCGGCGGAGGGGGAAGGGCATGTTGGGATGAATTTGGTGCAGCCGGCTTGGAAGGGGAGGGCGTCGGCGCTTGAGTGCTCGGTGCTGGTGTTGCCGCCGGCGTAGTCGGAAAGTTGCCGTTCATCTGCGCATTGGTGTTGGCGTTGGCAGCAGATGAGTCACCGATGCGCAGGACGCCAGCCTGCATCAGGAAGTCCCAGACTCTACTGGTCTTGTTCACGTCGATCTTGACGAGATCGCGTGCTTCACGGCGACGCAACTTCCCACCGCGTCTGGCGTACTCGCGTACAAGCGTCTCCTTGATGACCAGGTACGGTTTGGGCAAGATGCGCAATGTACTGCACAGCGTTTGTTCTGCCGGTGTGAGGAGGTGCAAGAGAGGGCTGTTGGCGAGATTGAGCGGTGCAGGCGGTTTGCGGAGGCCTCCGCCGGGTTTGGGCGTCCCATCGCGCTCGGTCGAGTCGTCGTGGTTCGCCCGACGAGAATCGGGCTGGAGCGAAGACCGCCCGGAAGGTGCCCGTGCGTGTAGTTCGCGCGCCATGTTTGCCTTGGCCCCACTGCGCCTGAATCCGTCGAGCTCGAATGAGTGGAGATCAGCCGGTGTTGTCAGGCCATTTCGTCGGAAGGCTTGCAGTTCTGCGATGCGCTTTCTAAGCAGCGACTCATCTGGAATTGAAACGAATCAGCACGGTGACCTGGTGATGATGGAGAGAGCATGGACACACATAGGGTATCTGCGCAGAACTGCTCGTAGTCTTCCGCCGTCTGAAGCTTCGCAAAGGGACGAAGGCGATGTATGATCTCCTTCTCCTCCTTTGGGCGCTTCTTCTCCGCGGCCTGCATCTATAGAAGAAGACAGCGCCCCCATCAGCATGCGCGTTGACGTGTACAGATCGGCCGAGAAAACGGCACGAACCTTCTTGTACTCCAGTAGGCCGCGCTGGAATATGAGCTGCTTGCCCTGTTCGCGTCGCTCGACGCGCTGGAGGTACATGTCGATGACAGTGAGCTTGAAGCGGATAGACTCGTCCGTCTCTAGGGGTATAGGTGGAAGGTTATCCTCGTTATCCTCGTCGTCTTCTTCGCCTTCGTCCTCATCTTCCTTCTTCTTGTCGCGCTTGTCCTTCCGATCAGTAGTGCCGCGCTTGTCGAAACCGTTCTTCCGATCAGCGCTGCCGTTGGGAAGATGGAAGCCATTGGGCATTGCGCCGTTCGTGGTACCGTTAAAGTCGAATGATATAGGAAGTTGAGGCTGTTGCTGCTGCTGAAGCTGCTTCTCTAGCGCAGCCTTGCGCTCCTCTACCCATTTGGTACGTTTAATCACGTCCTTGTCCTTCTCATCCTCTTGAAGTTGATCGCCGCCCCACTGCATGACAAGACCGAACATCAAGTCCTTGATGAGCTCCTCGGCGTCATTGTCCGGCTCGTGTTCGAACTCGAGGCGGCCGGGCAAGTACGTCGCGATCTCGTGTATGCCCGGCGCTGATGTGGGTGCGACCTTTGGCGCTGGAGGGGCCGTCGGCATCGAAGAGATGCGCCGTCGTTTGCGCTCTTGGAATTCCGAAGGCTCGATGTCGAAGTGTCTGTCGGTGATCTGTGGCGCATCAGCCGGCGGGCCAAGAATAGAAGCATGAAGACGGCGTACAGGTAATGGCCAGTGAGGAGACTTGAGGTAAACGGCTTTGTAGTGCTCCTCAACCTCTTCCTTGGTCCGAGTACCAATATGCTCGGCGATGGCCTCCCAGTTGCCCAAGCCATTCTGTGAGATGCCGTCGACGAGCAACAGCTCCCTGTGAGTAAAAGTCGTGAGTCAACTTTGCCGCTGTCAAACAATGGAAGCCTGTCATACTCGTCGGCTCCCCAGTCTTCCGAGAAGATTGGGTAGGCATGCAATTCCTAGTTCGGGTTTAGCCGAATGATGGCTACGAAGACAGGTATTGAACTCACCACAACTCGGTATGGATGATGGCGCTTATGCTGGTTGAACTCCTTGCCCTCGCAGAAACATCGTGGACAAAGGTCGATGCCGTCCCCAGGAGTACATACAGGGTCCGCGCACTTCAACCGAATAGAATGCGTCAAGTTTGCGCCACAACCATCGCAGGAGATACAGAAGCCGGGTTCGTTGATTGCTATGGGCGCGTGTAGGCGTTTACGTCAGCGTGCTATCGTGAGAAATAGGGGGGCAGGAGGAAGACGCGGACGGCAGAACGTGCGGATAACGACGACTACTCACCAGGCTCCTCTTCGTGCTGTCGCTTGCCGAGCCTAGAGGTCACCGTCATAGCCAGTGGCCGCTTTCCGCGTTCGAATACGACCTCCCGCTGGCGATATATTCGATTTATGTGCGATGCTGAACCACCAGGTTTAGGACCCTTAGGACGCGTCGGAATCGCGCACACGCACCCGAACTTCTACACCAGGCGATCCAGCACCTCCAAAAGCACCGAAATTTCGCCTCCGGCCGATCGAAATATTTATCGCTAGCTGGCCAGGTGGCAGGTCGTCGCCGTGCGAGAATGGGTCGTAGAAAGGCGGGGAAATGTCCAGTGGGCGCGATAGATGGGGAAGAGGCGCGCGAGGAAGCGCTTGTCGGGGAGGTATGAGTGTCGCGGTGATGTGTGGTCGGTGACCCGTCGTCGGTCGGGCTCCTCGTCGTCGACAATGGCGAGGAACCCCAATCACCGTATGTCACGGCTACCACGTGGCGCCCCGGACCGCCACTGTCCCACCCCTATCTTTCCTACGGTGCCACAATAGATTTCCCCCCTCTTCGTTTCGACTCGCTTTGTACATATATAACTCGAATCAAATTCCACGATACACTGTTGACAGCAAATCATTGACTAGGTGGTGTTTGCGTTGGCTGGTAGCCGCGTTGGAAAGAAACGTCCAAACCGACTGATATATACCAACTTGAACCGCCTACGCTACATCCCCTTGCGCCTTCGGTCATAGCTTAGCGGCAGCTTCTTGCACCAAAACACCATTTTCTTTGAGCATCCCAATTGCTTTTACAATATCCTCCCGGGCATCGTGCTTCCACACCTTCTCCCACTGCATATGCAAGTCCTTCCGCCGTCCTTCATCACTCGGTCCGCTCGGTCCGTTGCCGCGATATACGTTTCCCGCGCGCTCACTGGCAAGAGCAACGTACGCCGCGCGAGGAACGCGGACGGTATCGTATGCGCGCAGAACGTCCTGTCGTGGAAGAAAATGATGATCAGCGAGCGGTCTCAGGGAGACTGGGGAGACTCACAGATAGATTCGCGCGCTGCGTTCGTGGGTGCGTGAGCAGGCTCGCAAGCACATATGCATCCTCGATGCCTGTACCTGCGCCTGCGCCGAGGTACGGCAACATCGCATGAGCTGCGTCGCCGATGAGGGCCACATTCAGGACGTCTGACCCTTCTCCGCTATCGCCACTCTTGCCCTGGACTGGAGCGGCAGCTACGAATGTTTCGAGTGGCGGGTACAGTCCATGGACCTTCCACTTATTTGGACTGTTCATACACCCAAGTATCGCTCGCGCATCAGTGCCAAAGACATTGAACGTCTCCATCAGCTCTTGTGGTGACGCTGGCTCTACCCATGATGTCCAAGAATCTTGCGGGCCCGCAGGTACCATCTTATGCGCGTAGTCTTCCGCGACAGCTCCGACGTTGAGAACAGTGTTATGCATGATCGGAAACGTGACGAGGTGCTTGTCCTGCCCCAACCAGCAGCGCGGCGATGGTCGTATGGCGTCCTCTTTGAGGCCCGCATCGAGCAAGCGTTGCATGGGAACCAGATCGCGGTAGATGCGGGAGCCCGTATCGACTAGTCGGTCACCCTTCGCGCCAAATACTACGACAGGGTCAGCACGTCTTGGAACTGATACAGTACACTGCGTGAGTGCTCTCGAGAGAAGCGTACCCTGCATACGAACAGTACTCTTGATACCATCAGCACCAACGACTACATCTGTCTCATGAACGCTTCCGTCGGCAAATCGTAGATGGACGCGCCCGGTTCCCGCGGGCGAGGCACTTATGCTGACACAGCGCTTTGAGAAGTGAGAGCGCACACCGGCGGGTATCAATCCTACGAGCGCCTTGAGGAAGGCTGCACTACAAGACGTGACACTCGAGAGTGACACAGCACACAAAGGTATGCGCACCGGTGTAGTCCAAGTCCCTGGTGCTCCATACCCGGACTCTCGTACTACGAAGTCTCCGTCGGTCTCATCATGACCATGGGTTGGTTTGGCAGACGCACCTTGTATATCTCATCATGCGGATCCGCCGCGCGCACAAACTTAAAGATGGGCATGGGCCGTCCTCGATCATTGCAGTGCGCAAGAACTTCGTCAAGGATGCCCATTGTCTCAAGAACGCGCAGTGCGTTTGGTCCTGTAGACGTACCAGTCAGCCTATATCCCCTTCCATGCAGTAGTGGAGATTCTGACCGATGCCTACGCCTGCCCCAATCTCGCCGTACTTCGACTGAAGACAGAAGTTTAGACACTGCCTGGATGATTTGAGGAAGAGCGTACGGCTGCCTCAAAGACATCCACTTTCAGACCTACGCGGGCGAGTGCGATAGCAAGTATGAGCCCGGTGATCCCGCCGCCTACGATGGCTACATCGAAGTCCTTCTGCGCGTTCATGCCCAATAATCTGCGTAGAGCAGGCAAAGAGCAAGGTCAGGAGTACTAGCACAGTGAGGAATCATCTCCAGAGACACTTTGTAAGTGAGTGTGAAGGGCACGAAGCCCAGGCTATCCATCCCCGGACGCAGAAGAACCACGACACTGAGAGCGCGGGGACAGATATCACACGAAGATAATGTCATGAGAAGCCAGCGCCAAGCCCTTTGAGGTATCGTGTGGGCACTAGAACCAGTTCATAGCGTTGGGGTGTGCTTCAGCCTTAAGTAGTCCATCAGTGCCACTGGCGGAGAAGTGGACACCATGTCAAAGGGCTCTTCGGTCTCGAGCTTCGAGCTTCGTCGTCGCTGCTCGCTGCTTTCAGGACGTGGCGCGCCCACCAGGAACGGCGGCCGTCTTTCGAAGTCTTGAAAACACGCAGAAGATATAGATATTCGGGCTACCGTGGGCGACCCAGCGTGGATGCCAGGGACAGGTCATGGTCGTCGAAAACAGAACGTGCTTCGGGGAGAGGCACAGTGCGCCGAATGCGTGAGAGAATCACGGCACCTGCCGATGCCGCGCGAACTTGAGAGTGTCGATTGCTTGCTACCGCCGACCACGATGTGCATGGCGGCACTCCTGCCATCCACGACGAAATATAGCGCGTAGACACTCCGATCTCGATCTTATATCTCCACTTGCGTATCCGTGTGGTCTCTCTATCCAGCGCCAGAGGCAGGCGACTCTGGATTTCTGCTCGCCAACCGACGCTACAGCAAAGAAGCAGGGGTTCAGAGTCACCGTACCGTGTCTGCTCACACCTCGTTCATCAGAAAGAAAACAGCATGACTCAAACAACATCCTCTCCTACTCTCAATGGTATCGCTTACTTCGTCTTGCCCATCGGGCGCATCGACCTCGACGCCCTGCGCCTCATCTTTGAGTACATCGCCGAAGCGGACCGTCCAAACAGCGAACATCCTATCGCAGATAGCTGGCCGAGGCTTGGACACGTTTGTCGCGTATGGCGGTCCACGCTGTTAGACATGCCTCAGCTCTGGGCACGCGACGTACTTGCTTTCGGCACGGGTAGTGCATTGGACGATGTCGTCGATCGCACTCGCGAACTACCACTTCGTCTTGACTGCCTGAGTCACACCTTAGACGAGCTTTCTATGGAGCGCATCATACCACTCATCCCGCGCGCTCAAGCCCTTCAATGTGAACTAAAGACTTACGAGGAGCTAAAGGATGTTCTCAACAGTATCGCTTCTCATCCACCCAAGGCCCTGCGCACTCTCTCGATCAGCCTTGAGATGGGATTGAACAGTTGGTTTATCTCTCAATCGCCATCTTACACGTCATGCATCGAACTTCTACCACTTCGCCATCTCGAGATGACGGGTGTATATCCCAATCCCCCGCTCTTGGGCACATTGACGTCCTGGACAATGAAGTCTACGGACGTCATCCTCGTCGATCCGCGTCTTCCTATAGAAGTCATCGTCAACGTGTTGGCCCACAATACCGGCCTGGAATCGTTGTGTCTCATGGACGCTATCAGCGTCTTCAGGGATCAAAATATAGTCCTTCCCGATATCGTCGTCCTCCCCAAGCTCAAGTCCTTATACATATGGCAAGAATCAAATGCATCGCCGTGCCCGATTTTGAATCGACTACAACTCCCCAATCCCACATTGGAGAAATACTGGATACGTGATTGCGACGTCGACACAGCCGCGGATGTCTCCGCGGAATTCGCCTCGGCGCTCTCTGCTTGCGCTTGCTCCCCTGTACTTAGATCCGGACGATTCTTGCGAGTGCAGTGCGAAACACGTTGGGAGAACAAAGTCATCGTGCAACTACATCGTCAATATCGCGTCCCAGAAGGACCGGAGCATCCCGATAACATGCCTTTCCATGTTGAATATCAACCGTTCCATCTGGCAGTTTCTTTCCTGGAACTATCTAACGCCATCCTCGCACCCCTTTCGCGCACCAGCTTACCAGAGCAAGTGCTTGAACTCTGGTGGTCGGTGTTCGAGGAAGACGCCCAAGTCGCCTCTTACTGGGATACGGTACTACAGCCCTTCCAGGCGGTGACCACCTTGATCATTCTCGATGTTTATACGCACACACAGGCGGCTCTCGTCGCAATGTCGGCCGCTCTAACTCGCACACGCGACGATGGATCGCTCCTTCTGCCCTGCTTGAACCGACTAGTGATGCGCGCGTACGAGATGGACGGGCTGGGGCTATTCAGGGACCACAGTCTTCTCAAAAAGCGCAAGGACATGGGCGTACCCATTTCCAAGGTGCTGTTCTTGGACATCGATAGTCCGAATATGAATGGATCCGAACAGGACGACGAATTTGACGGCGAGGTGAAGAAGCAAATGCAAGACGTGGCGACAGAGCTTGATGCTGGGCTTGAGAGTCATATAAGTTGGGAGGTTGTCAACGGGCAAAGGCGGATACAAGGAACGGAATTCGTCTTTAAGTATTGATATAGCATTGCCCATGTCACAAAGGGTACACGTAGTGTTGTGTATTAGTACATGTTATCCGTCCACTCCATATCTATCCTGTGCAGCAATATCCGCACTGCTATCCGCCGAGACACATACATAGTGTGATCACCAAATCTCTACAATAGGCTCTTGCGAACGCCGTCGCCGAGTACCAGGATGCATGGGCCGCCGAATACGGCCTTCTCCTCGAGGCCACTCTCGTTGAGGTAGTCAATGACCGTCTGATCGGCGACACCGGGCTGAAGCCATAGCGCATTGGGGCTGATGTCCTTCTCCTTGAGGCTCTTCAGGATGTTCAATGTGATCTGTTTCAACGTCAATCTTCCGGAGCGGCAATTAAGAAGGCACAGCATGCGTACCGCAGGGTTCGTGATCAGACTGACAGATGTGTTCGATAGGTCAGGTATCTCAGAGATGTCCTTGACAGCGGCGATGCCCTCGAGCTCAGACTCTTTCTGCGGTCGAGTTCAGCGTTAGGCAGTAGACTCGGACCTCTTAACGCACGGGATGTACAGGTGTCACTGATAAATCGCGCTCGATGTACCATTGGAGCACCTACGAAGTTCCTCTGTCAATCATTATGCGCGTCTAACTCGCCAGGAAAGGCAGACCTTTGTCCCCCACTTGCTCTGATCCTTCGACGCACCGATCACGGCAAACTTAGGCGCGGACAGGAAAGTCTTCTGCTGAGCAGCCTGCATAACTATACGTCGGATGACAGAAGCCAAGATAGTCAGAAGCGGGTGGGTAGATGGCGGTTCCGGGTTAAGTAGCTGGTCAGCCGATTGCGAGCTTGTTCGTCAATCTCGACCGTGTAAGCGCTGAGCCGATGTTCACATGGTTCGAGTGCTTCTCGGAAAGACATATCTCAGACCTGTCCGATAGCCAAGCAAGAAAGCGTGGAGACATGGTCGAGCCTGAGAGCTGTCCAATGATGAAGGTTGGACGGAAGTTCGACGAACACGCGCCATCGGCCAACGCGGTGAGGTCATGGCGCGCGCCGGCATGGCACGCGTCGAGAGCGCGACGTTCATGCGCACCCGGAGTTTCTTCCTCGACCACCACCACAAGGCTGCTGGGTGTTGGGTTTCCACTATCTAAGGTTGCTGCGGATTGCTTGTCTAGCTGGCTCTAGTCATGTCTTCGTGGCTGCCCACGCCTTCGACCGCTCGGCATCTATTCTATGGCGTTCTCATTGGCTTCGCACTTTCTCTTGGTGCATCCACCGCTACCCAATCATATCAGAAGCGAAAGCGTGAGCGGCTTGAAGCGGCTGAGCCTAGCTTGAGGCCCATCGAGCTACGCAGTGACGAAATTCTGGACGGAGTCTCTGGACTCATTGGTAGGTAGATCCCGTTCATGCACAAGACAAGCGAACTTAGAGCTATAGGAAACACGCCGCTTGTGCGTATCAACTCGCTAAGCGATGCTCTTGGCGTAGAGATACTGGGAAAGGCAGAGGTATGCTACTTTCGCACTATGCAACCAATGGCTACTGATCGCTTTGAAGTTCCTAAACCCAGGCGGCAGCGTTAAAGACCGTGTTGCCCTACGCAGTGCGTTTCTATACCACGTCATCTGCTGAAGAATGAGTCTGAACTCCACTAGTGATTGAGGATGCGGAGCGGCAGGGACTCCTCCATCCTTATACTGGTTCGCGCATCTTTGAGGGAACTGTGGGTTCGACTGGGATATCTATTGCTACTATAGCACGCGCTAAGTAAGTCGGTGGAAGCACTCATGCATGGATGGGTATGAACGTCACTTACCAGGTCTTGTACAGAGGTTACGACACAAGTGAGTCTGAGAGACGATGAACGCGGTGACATAGTCGTTGACGAACAATGCCCTCTAGCGATAATAATGCCCGATGATGTTGCGCTGGAGAAGGTGAAGGCTTTGGAAGCGCTGGGAGCAGAGGTGCAGCGGGTACGACCGGCGAGCATTGTCGACAAGAAGCAGGTACGGTCGCATCGACCTGTCGCTTGACATAGGATCTGACGCTTTTATTCAGTATGTCGTACGTTGCACAACGCAGCAATGAAAAGTCGGCCTGACTAATGCTTCTTCCAGAATCTTGCCCGTGAAAGGGCGCTGCATTTCACCAACACGCACTCGGATGAAGAGCCACTCTCATCTCTACCGCCGAAACACAAACATCCATTGGCCCTCAAACACGCAAACTCGGCCGTAGTTGTCACAACAGCCGAGACAGAAGAGAACGGTGACGCGACTGTGGACTCCACGCACGACGAAGAGGCACTACGCACCAAACCACGCGGATTCTTTGCCGACCAGTTCGAGGTGAACGCCTATCATCTGGGAATCTCGCAGCTATCTGACCTCCAACCTCAGAACCGTAGCAACTTTGACGCGCATTTCGACGGTACGGGCCCGGAAATATGGAGACAGACCAACGGGACACTCTCCGCGTTTGTCGCCGGAGCGGGTACGGGTGGAACTGTGGCTGGTACCGGCCAATACCTGAAGTCGATGGACGACAACATCACTGTCGCTATTGCCGATCCCGAAGGTTCAGGGCTATTCAATAAGGTCAAACACGGCGTCATGTACGACCGTCGTGAAAGCGAGGGCAAACGCCGACGGCACCAGGTCGACACGGTTGTGGAAGGCATCGGCATCAATCGCTTGACGAACAATATCTCGCTCGCTTTGCCTATCGTCGACGATGCGTTCAGGATAACGGACGAGGAGGCAGTCAGCATGTCGCGGTTCCTTGTGCAACGTGATGGGCTCTTCTTGGGCTCTTCGAGCGCGTGCAACCTTGTTGCGTGCGTAAAGCTCGTTCACAAGCTCGGGCTGGGTGAGGGCGCGCGTGTTGTGACGATCCTGTGCGACTCGGGCAATAGGCATTACTCCAAGGTATGTGCACTGCCGACTGTCTTAGCAGTATTTGTACTAAACCCTTCGACGCGTAGTTTTGGAACGACGAGTATCTCGCGAAAGCAGGCATCAAAGTGGATGTAGGCATTGTGCAGGATATGCTAACCCGTCCGTTTCCGCCCATGTCGTCTATTACGAAGATATGAATGCAGCTCTGACGCTACCCCCTCTCAGGAACTACGTTGTGATCTCGAAATATCTGCCTTGCTAACAAGTTGTGCGTCTGGTTCGTCTAAGAGAGTATCAAGGCGCGCGCGAAAGGAACTTGAATACCGTGATGAATGTTGTACAATGCTGTCTATCATACACATCGCTACATGCCACTAGATTCCGATTCGAGAAGACGAATGACCCAGAGAAAAAAGCGTGTAATAAGGTGTGGCCGGTGCGCTTCAGCGGTTCGGCCATGGCTCGGCCGATCGCGGTTCGCGCTCATTCATGATGCATGACCCCTTGCATCAGCGCCTCAGCACGCCGCGCCCTTCGTCCATACACCAGCAGCGCCGCCGGGCGTATCGTTGTACGTCCATTGGGTCGCTGTCCAGAGGAAGCCGCTATATGTGACCTTATCTCCGGCTGTGTACGTGGCAGAACTGCTCCATGCGGAAACACCGGCGCAGGAACCACTTGAACTAGATGTTGACGAGGCAGCGGGAGCGCTTGTGGTAGTCGGAGTGCCTGACCCGCCTCCAGAGCCACTGCCCGACTCCGGCCACGTCGAGCCGCGCACGGTCTTGATCCAGTCGGAAGTCGCGTCCGGATATTGCCACGCCATAACGCCGGCATTCCAACCTTGCGAGTGAGCTTGAGCGACGCAAGTCGCGAGGGTTGACGCGTCCATCAAGCCACCGCTGGTCTCATCGGAGGCGAGAGCCGGCTTTCCGATGACAAGCTTGTCGAGCGGTACACCGTTCGCGGCGATCTCGAAGAGCGAGGATCCAGGGTGGATGCCGCCTGAGGTCGTGAGAAGGTTCGTGCAGGTGGTGTACTCGTCTTGGCCCTGGTTGTAGAATTGTACGTTGTACCTGTACAAGTACGTCAGGGTGAGATGACATAACCTCGTGGGTCAACTCACCAGTCGATGAGGTCACCTACGGCTTCGTGAATAGCCAAGTATCCGCCACCTGAGTAACCCTTCTCGAACCACGGCGCCACAGCTGTACGGATCGTTCACATCCAAGCTTCGGTGCTCTTGATGATGAGAACTTACGAGCGTGGGTAATGATGTAGTCGCCACTAGGAAGCTGGGCGCGAAGCTCTTTCGTGAACGCAATCAACCAGTCGACAGCTGCTGTGGTACCACCGTTGAAGGCAGTAAAGTCCTCGTAATCTGAAACTTCATGAGGTTTAGTCGTGTGACAAGGCGGAAGGATGCTCACCGACATCCACACCGTCGAGATCGTAATCCTTACACCACTGCGCCAGTGCATCTGCGGCTGCAACAGCGTCGACACCCGAGCTCGTCGGCGTCTCCGTACTTCCGAAGGCGCTTATCATTAACTTGATGCCTGCAGCAGCATACTCAGACTTGATCGTTGCACGTTGGTCCGCGGTGAGCTCTTTCCAAGTCTCGGCTTGGTCCGCGAGGCCCGAGTAAAGCCAGAAGCTCAAGATGTACACGTTGAATCCATCGATGACCGTGGGGGAAGGAGCAGCACCGGTCACGTATTTGTCGTCGTATACGACAAAGTGCGGTGCAGCTGGAGTGGCCTGCGTTTTCGATGCCTTGCGAGCGACGAGGTCGGTCGCATATGAAGGGGCCGCGCTTGCCGACGCCACGAGGCAAGCAACGACAGCGGCAAGAGATGCAAGACGAGCAAAGAGGTGAACCATGCCGAGGTGAGTCCTACAGTCTATGACCGGTAAGCTAGGGGAGCCCAAGCTAGATGGATAGCGAGTAGCCTCCGATCCTTAAATACCAGCTGGTGATTTCCCCTTCCAGTTTGCGACGTTGAGGCGGCGGATCCGAGGTAGAGCAGAGTTGTACGATATCCATGCGGGCCCCAGTGCGAGACGCATGCGTATCTCTGTCATTCGCGCAGGGAGTGGATCGAGAAACGCAGGACCTCGTTCCTTTCATCCCGCGCGAATGCAGCCAGCGTTGAATCCAGCCGTACGTGCAGTCTGATACGCAATCGTGACCAACGATCGCAGCTTGAGTCTGTGGGACAAGTTGAGGCATCCTCGTGCAAGCGCATGTTGTCCAGCGGGCGGGCATGTGGAGCACGAAGGGGAAGCCAGGGCGGAATCAACGAGCGAAGGCGGCGGTCTGGGCTGCTGATACAGCTCCCTCATATACCCTCATGGTCCTGTTGCGTGTATATCAGCATCGCGTCCGAGAAGGACCTATGTGGTCGTATGGAAGTGTACAAAAATACGAACACTACTTTCTCCGAGATGAGCCACGCGGTACGCGGGAAGCATGCATAAGGCCGCAAGTAGTCGAACTGGAAGGGTCGATAACCGGTGGTGCAGACACTCGTATATGCAAGAAGCATAACATGCTTGGTACATCTGTGTAGCTCACAGTCGTACCGCAGCAAACGTCGTCATTGGCATAAGTCGACCATGATGGTCAAGATGAAAGCGCTCATGCGGTTTCTATGGCTCGCGCGCGAGCCTCGCGGCGCGCTGACTCGCCACATCCGTTGCTTCCGTCCGTACAGACCTGTTCCAAAGATAGTCTTTGAGGCGTTACATGCAGTGCCGATAGGCGTCTATGATGAGAGTGCAACAAAGATGCAGAAACGCTTGAACAGTGCATAAATCAACAAGTGAGCGCTTAGCGCCACCGGCTCCGGCGTCTACGCCGGCAGACGCCGGCACGTTCTCGGGCCGCGTCGGTTCTTGTCCCCGACCACCACCCCTTGAGCTATTTATCTGTGATCTATATGCTTCTCATCCACAGCAAAGGAACACCTGCAACACCTGCTTCCTATGCCTATGGTCCTCGTACAGGCATAGCACGCGACTGCGACTCCAAATTTGCGATGACAACATTCTACCAACGCCACGCCTAAACAATTCCTGCCCTGATTTGCAGCCACGGAGAGGAAACTCCAGATTCAAGACAGTGTGTACGGCCGAATTTGATGGGTGGATAGAAATGAGATGCTTCTGTTTCTTGCGCGCTCGGGCTGTGTTCGGCTATGCTCGTCGCATCAGCCAAGTATCGGCTTTCGTCTTCCGAGCAGCATCCGAACTGGGGAGGGCCCGACTCAATTACGTCGAGGACCAGGCTGTCAAAGTGGCTAAGTCCTGTCCAGTGAGGCTGGTGAACGGCGAGCCTCACTCGTTCATGTTCATGCAGAGGTTGCATGTCGTTTCAGCTGAACTTGCTGAACGGCTAGTAGTGTGTATACCTTTTGACCCCAGATGGCTTCTGTAGACTCACTTCACTTCACAGCGTGCTGTGTTGTCCTCCTCAACGGGCATAACATGCCGCTGTATCCGGTACCCCAATATCATGATGACGTTCCCGTGGGCCACCCGAAGCCATGATTTTATTGCTTGCAGCTCCCGCACGCCTCGTCAATGACCGCATCGGAGCGCCCAAGGTACTTGTGTACAGGAATGCCTTGCCAAGTGACCAGCGCGCACAACTGCGGGGAAGACGTTTTGAGCGTGGCTGTTGCGAACTTGTGTCACTTGACACTTGTATCGAGTGCATATAAGTACCCTGTCCGCAGCCCAGCGACGAGCATCCTTTTCTTATTCTCTCATCATGCTTTTCAGTCTTCTCGCTCTTCCAGCTCTCGTTGCTGGACTTCCCAGTCTCGGGTCCAGACAGGACAACGTACATCACTTGCCTCTGGCTCGCCAGTCGCTTCATCGTCGCGGCGACTTCGTGGACGTCAAACGTGTCGCAGGCTCCGCGCGAGCGCTCAGGGCCAAATACGGATTCGCGGCTGCGAATCAACTAGCGCGGAGGGCGGATGAACCGGCCAGTATTGATGTCATCAACCAGGCGAGTTAATGTATGAAGGTCGTGTGGCGACGTGACGACTGACGATGAGAACAGGGTGGGGACTTGAGGTATCTTGCGACTTTGAACGTCGGTACACCGTATGTGCCATTATCACGGCCATTGGATGGCTCATGCTGATGATCGTATAGGCCTCAACCATTGAACGTCATACTCGACACCGGGTCATCCGATCTCTGGTTCTCGACTACGGATTGCCAGAACTGCCCAAACTATGTGCCGCGGTTTAACGCATCGCAGTCGTCAACCTTGAATGCGTCTTCGACCCAGACCGTGGAGCTCCTCTACGGCACTGGACTCAACGCTACTGGAACCGTCCTTCAGGATGCTGTCGCCGTCGGACCCTACAGCACTACGCAGGCGTTCACGGGTGTCACAGAGATGTACAACACCAGTCTCATCAACGGCACCACGTCCGGTATCTTTGGCCTGGCGTTCCAGAACTTGACCTACTCCGGCATCAAGCCATTCTGGCTTTCGCTCTTTGACGACGGCGAGCTCGACAGCCCAGAGTTCGGGATGTACCTCACGGATTACCAGGGAAACACGACCGATCTCACTGCGGAGAACCCTGGTGGGACACTCACGCTTGGCGGGACGAACAGCAGCTTGTACAAGGGCGAGATCGAGTACATCCCTTTCAACAGCTCACAGGACACCTTCTGGTTCCAGAATGTATCCGGTAAGTCTCCCATTCGCGACCGCCGATCTACGTCTGACTGCACCGGACTCATCGCTAACGTACGCCTCACAGGACTCACTGTGAATGGAGCATCCGTTGAACTCGAGTCCAATGGGACCCTGGCTATCATGGATACCGGCTCGGCGCTCATCGCCGGCCCTACCGCCGCCGTCAAAGGCTTCTGGGCGCAAATCAACGGTTCCCAGGCTCTCCCTGATATTCCTGGATTCTACGGATTCCGTAAGCAGGCCTGGCTCACTTTGTGTTGTATAGTGCTTGACCCTATTTGATACCCGTAGCATGCGAGACGAACTTCACGGCGACGCTCGCGTTCGGGGGTAAGGCATGGCCCATTCCCGCTCGCGACATGAACGCCGGCGAGATTGCGGAGGGGCAGTGTTTGGGCATCTTTTTCGACGCCCAGCAGGGTCTCCCAGCGTATGCCTAGCCTCCTTTTCCATTCTTAGAGCGATCTACTGACATCCACACAGGATTGGCTCCGACTATCCGAGTTGGATCGTTGGCGATGCGTGCGTTCTTTTCCATCATTGTGAAGGCTCATGCTGTACGAATGAATTCATGCCCATACAGTTTCCTCAAGAACGTCTACATGGTCTACAGGGCTGGCGACAACCCTGCGGTCGGCTACGCTGAGTTGGCTGATGGCTTGCGCGGTGAGTTCTGTCTATTGTGTATGCTTCTTCGATACTGATGATATGCAGCTGATTGAGCGTGAGATGTCCAGCCGTCAGCAGCGGAAGGTTCCAGTGGCGGCTACTGTCATGTTATCGATACCTGCTTACACTCCTTGCTATCATGCGATCACTCGCGAACATTATTGACGATGACGACATATACATGTACCTATATTATTCGCCTGTGCAAATAGGATAATACACCTGCTAATCCGATCTTCATTGAGCTGCATCGGGAATTGGTATCCTAAGGTCGACAATGTGCGTACGATCTTACGAAAGTACTGCATATCCATGACGTACTTGCACGGAGATCTACCGTAATCTATAGCACATTCGCAAGGAAGACTTGAAGGTAGACGTTAAAAGGGACAGTACTGCGCGAGTGGAACAACACCCTTCCTTCACTTGTACGTCCACACCCATGGACTTCCGCCCAGAAACCATTCGCATCGAACACCACATGTATGCAAACGAATGAATAGACCACCATTAAGCGTAGGTCGTAGGTATTCCGAGTCACCGCCGAGCGGTATGGGGAGAAGTAAGTAAGTATACATCGAGTGGGAGGGATCGTGCGTTCCAGAGTCCTCGATGCTGTCAGGGGGAGATTCGTTTATCATACAGGCAGCGAGCAGATGCAGATGCAGAGCATATTGGACTGGGAATATCGGGGGGGGGGCGGGCCGGGGGTATGGAGAAGAGATGAGGATGCACTATCGCAGCATGAGGGCCGCGATGCCGATCGCCGCGCCCAGCGCGACACTTAAGAAGCCGGTGGCGGGTCCGCTGGCAGTACGTGCACTGGCGCCGCTGGTCGAACCTACGCGTGAAGGGATGATTAGCGCTCGCTCTAACGAAAGAGAGGTGGGAGAACACATACCAGAAGGCGTAGGCAGACCAGCACCGCCTGAGACACGGGCGCTAGTGGTAGCTCCAGTCGAAGTAGGCGAGCCTGTATTTTGAACAACAGTCGTCAGCGTCTGTACAACTACACCTCCCCCATTATCCGACGAAGACATCGAAGTCGTGATTTCTGTTGTTACAGAGGCAGCAGACGTTGAAGGCGTCGGGACTGCCTGTGTTGATGTTGTTGCTACGGTTGGTAGCGCAGTTGATGGGGAGCTTGAGTCTGCGCGGTATCAGGCCCCGCATATCGTGTCGATGATGAAGGCCGAAACAAGGAGAACCAGCCGGAGGGCGACCAGGAGAAGAGGATGCATGAAGAAAGGGGAAGAGGCTTACCGCTTGAACCGACGGCCAGCTCGGCAAAGCCGACAGCGGGGCTGTCGCCAGCGCGGAAGACAGTGTATACGTTCTTGAGGAACCTATACATTTTCAAACAGCCTGTTAGACACTGACCCGCATGATTGGGTACGGGTGGACATACGTATCACCGACGATCCAACTCGGGCTGCCTGAGCTCGTCCTGCGCCACATGGATTAGTCATCGAATTGATGGTATCAACGACGAAGAAGACAACGTACGCAGCACCCTGAGTAACGTCGAACAACGCGCCCATGCAGAAGCCCTGTGCGATCTGACCGAGGTTCATATCATCGGCCGAGATGGGCCACGCCGTGCCGCCGAACGCGAGCGTCGAGCTGACATTCGTGGTGCAGGGGAACGCCCAGAAGCCGGAGTTCGCCCCGCTGAGCTGACGCGCGCCAGTAACTTGAGCCCAGAAAGCCTCGACGGCGGCCGTCGGGCCGCCGAGGAGAGTGGTGCCGGTGTCGATGGCGGCGATGTTATCCGCGTCGCTGCCGATGCTAACCGAGTTGCCGTTCACGGTGAGGCCTGCCAAGCGCGTCAGCAACATGGACCAAGAGATGATGAACATTGACCCAAGGGAAGGAAGGATCGGAGAGGTGAGGCACGGATGCGCAACAGGCCAACAGGTGTCCTTGGCAAGTACCGAAAGAGCGGTATAGGGAACAAGGTTGACGCTTCTTGACGATTGGGGAAGAGAGCTTACCGGAGACGGTCTGCAACCAGAAGCTAGGCTGGAAGCCACTTGGGATCTCGTTGAACTGGATGTCACCCTTGAAGAGGCTGCTGTTGGTGCCACCGAGGGTGAAGGTTCCTCCCGGGTCCGTCTCGGTGCTCGAAGTCGCGTCGTCGAGGAATCGGGTGAGGTAGAAGCCCATCTCCGGACTGCTCAGCTCGCCCGCGTTGACCAGAGCCTCCCAAAACGGTGTGGCTTGAGAGACGGCGAGATTCTGAAAGGCCAGTCCAAGAATACCGGCCAATGAGCCGTCGATCAGACCGTCGGAGAGCGTGGTGACGCCAGTGAATATTTGGTTGGAGATGGTGTAGGGACCCAGCGAAACGGTGTCCTGGAGGAGGTTTCCCGAAGCGGTGCCAGATCCATATGAAAGTCGGATGGTCTGGGAGGAGGTGTTGAGGGAGGAGGATTTGGAGGTGTCAAACTCGGGTGTCCCAGTTGGGCAATTGGTGCACGCCGTCGTCGCGAACCAGAGATCCGAGGAGCCCGTGTCAAGGACCACATCGAGCGATTGTGATCTATATAGTAAATCGATATCCATTCACGACTTACAATGAATGTGTAGTCTACTTACGGTGTACCAACGCTGACACTGGCCAAATAACTCGTGTCGCCGCCCTTGTGACACAATGAGCATTCGAGCGCTTGTTGCCACACCCACGTTTCCCGCGGCCAAACATACCTGGTTAATGACACTGATCCCGGCCTCACTGGCTCTCCTCTGGATGCCCTCGCTGCTCTTCAATCCGTACTTATATTGAAGGAAATCTCTGCTCTTCGCTATCCTCTCGAGGTCCACATATTGGCCAATGCGGTGAGTGGTGCGACGGGTGAGCGGGAGGTGATGGACATTATCCTGGCGAGATTGGAGGTTGGGAAGGGCGACCGCCAGGGCCGGGAGGGAGAGGACTACTGGGAGGAGCATGACAGCTTGAAGCGAGAAGCAAGAAAGGAGTGGAATGACAGGCAGCCTGGCCTTTGAGCTTTGTGATGCACGCGGGGGACAAGAAGGCCAAGGCGCCGGCTGCGCGCGCGTGCCTCGTTCTCACCGGCTTCAGTCGCACCTTGTTCACAACTCGTTCTCACCGCTCGCTGCGCTGCCCAATTCAACGTTGCTTCCTCACCACGATCATCGCTGTACAAGCGCACGTCGCGTCTGTCTCAAGATACCAGAACTTGAACTCTACGCGTCTGTCTCGCGAGCAACCGAAGGTCTTGATCGAGGCAAACCCTTCCAGATATGATTTGCGTCAAAGACCTCGGTCAATGTTTCCGTTTCCTCCGTTCCTTCCGTCGTGGCGTCTGCATCACGGGCTTCACGGTTGCACGCGATGCCGTCGGCATCACCACCTGGGCAGGGCAATTCCTTGGCCTGAACAATAATGAAAACCTGCAGATCTGTAGGGTGGCTGTACCCCACGCGAAGGTCCCGAAGGTCCCGAGCCATATACGGTTTCGCAGTTAATGGTCGGCTTCTCTCTAGATCCTGAGATACGGAGCCTCTGTGCGAGCCTTGTACGGTGCGGAGGGAGTAGGAAGCCTGCACAGTCTGGGAGAGGTGCCTAAAAGCACTTTGTTCTGAGAGAGCTCGGGGTTACTTGCACGTTACAGGTGGCAGATGCACTCTCATGATGCTTGCTTGCCGCCGGCGTCGGTCTTGTGACCTGTCCTGGTGGCTCAACAGTGAGAAGATGACAAGTTGGGCTGCAATATTTGGAACAGAGCGCAGCAGCTGCTAGACGCATGGAGCTTTGATTTGGATGTTGGTGGAGGACAGGCGGAGTCCCTGTACCTATCTGGAAGTATAGCTGTCGGCGCAGCCGATTCGTAGCTCTCACTATGTATAGCACGGCAGAATTCGTGCGATAGTCCCTCGGAAGAGATAGCTGCAGTTCATACTCAATATAGCACAGTCTTGTATATGCGTCTGACAGTGATATAGTACATGGCAAGCAGAGATAAATCGATCCGTACAGCTACAAAGAGTCATCCGAGTTAGTACATAAGTCACTCACGGCCCAATGAGTATTCGCAAGTGCGACACCGCCAGCGTGTGTGGGCAAGGTGCTCGCGGATCGATGCGGAGATAGGATCAGTCTGTAGCAGATATCCTCAGTACGACCATTGACATCCAAAGCCGAATAGGCTGAGAGAACCACGTACAACCGTAGCTCTCAGCCAACTTGGCGAACCCGACAGCAGGACTATCGCCAGCCCTCAACACCGTGTAAACATTCTTGAGGAACCTATACATATATTGAGCTACTGCGCGAGAGGCAAAGAGCATGGGCGTACGTGTCCCCCACTATCCACGAAGGAACGTTTGGATTAACCCTGCGCTATATCAGCATGTTTAACTCCACAAGGAAGAGTATACAACATACGTCGCGCCCTGCGTGACATCGAATACTGCGCCCACACAAGAGTCCTGCGAAATCTGACCGAGGTTCATATCGGCCGGTGAGATCGGCCATGCTGTGCCGCCAAACGCCAACGTCGAGGAGATGTTCGTCTCGCATGCTTTCGGATGGGATTTAGTACTAGGATCGCACGCCGGGAGCTGCAAGAGGGGACGTACGGAACTCCCACAGTCCGGCTTGGTCTCCGCTGAGTTCTTGAGAGCCGTCGATCTGAGCCCAGAACGCCTGTACAGCGGCTGTCGGGCCACCGAGTAGGGTTGTACCGGTATCGATAGCTGCAATGTTGCTCGAGTCGTTGCTGATGTCGACCGAGTTGCCGTTCACAGTCAAGCCTGCAAGATGCACGTCAGTGACAGATGCGATGAAGTTGTAGAACAGAGACTTACTAGACACGGTCTGTAACCAGAAGCTAGGTTCCGTTCCATCCGGGAACGCATTGAACTCAATGTCGCCCTGGTAAAAGCTACTGTTGGTCCCGCCCAGAGTGAACGTTCCTCCGGGATCAGTCTCCGTCGAGCTCGTCGCGTCGTCCAAGTGTCTCGTAAAGTAGAAGCTCATATCCGGGCTATCCAGCTCGCCGGCGTTGACGAGCGCCTGCCAGAATGGTAGGGCACCACTCGCGGACAAGCTTTGGAATCCAAGCCCAAAAAGTCCGCCTAGAGAACCGTCGATGAGACCGTCCGAGATCTGTGTGACGCCGACGAAGATCTGTTGAGGTACGGTGTATGGGCCGAGCGTGACAGTGTCCTCAAAGAGTGTACCGGATGCGGTTCCGCCACCGTAGTTGAGCTCAATGGGTTGCGATGACGCGTTCAGTGTCGAAGACTGGTTCGTGTTGAACTCGGGTGTATTGCTCGGACAGTCCGTGCAGTCCGTCGTCGCAAAGAAGAGATCGGACGATCCTGTATCGAGAACGACGTTGAGAGACTGTGCCCTGCGCTACTGTCAATACCTTATTGGGTTCAGAGAAGACGGGTAGGACACATACGGGGTACCAACGCTCATGGATGCCGCATAGCTTGTGTCGCCACCCTGGAAGAATGATCAATCATTCGTCGCTGCATCGTCATGACAGGTCCGGCGGTAGCATACCTGATCAATGACGCCAATATCCGCCTCGCTTGCTCTTCGCGCGAGGCCGTCTGGAGTCTTGAAGCCATACTTGTACCTCACGAAGTCCGCCGACTTTGCCAAAGACTCCGGAGTTAAGAACTCGCCGCGGCGATGAATCGAGCGCCGGGTGAGCGAGAGGTGGTGCTTGTTGTCTTGCCTGAGTTGAAGGGTAGGTACGCCGGCCACTAGAGCCGGAAGTGAGAGGAGAGCGAGAAGCATGGTTGTGGTCGAGTAAGGTGCAAGCTGAACCTGGTCATGGATTCGTAGACGTCGACGGCTTTTAAGAGCTCCCTGCATGACGGCTGATTGGAGTACGCCGTGCTGCAGTCACAGCTTTCGCAGCGAAGGCTTCCATTTGCGAGGACGTCGCACCGTGCGCGCAGTGGTGCGCCCTGTTACCCGCCAGCAGCTGTCATGCAAAGTGGAGCTTGCTCGCGAGCAACGAGCGAGCACTGGTCATCATGCATCACAGTGCTTATCCCGGGAGAAGTCTCCAGCGCTCGCATTTTGCATGGAGGATACCGTATATTGCACGGATACGAGGTAACTATGTGGGTTGCATCAATGATAGCCCATAGCTGGCGTACATGTCTAACTCCGCCTCGCTAAGATCGCTTCAAACAAATACGGGGCTCAAGGTTCCATCCATCAACCTATGACAGGCCTACATTCGCTTTGCGCAAAGGATGTTCTCCTTCGGGATGAGGCTCTGGAGCAGGTGGGTGATGGAACCGAATAGCCAAGTTGGGCTACAGTTAGACGACCAACAGGAGACATGCCTGTGCTCATCCATGGCCGCTGCAATCTCAAGCTCAGCCGCAAACATGCGCACGTAGACTGCGCGCGTAGGTTGCTGCATCTCAAAGTGGAGTTCGGGTGCGAAAGGATGCAGTTGCCATTTTGCTCATTTAGAAGGTGAAATCGCCGGGATCGCGTTTGCCGAAGCGCTCATACTGGGGGACTCCAGAGTTGAAGAGTAGCATAACGACCAAATGCTGCATATATGACAACGCGTGTTGTCCTTGGAGGCGGGGTACTTGGTCTCCATGTCGGGTCGACCACCAAGGAATGCGATAGACAGCAGCAGAAAGATGACATCCGCTCCCAGCAATTGGGTTATCTTTCGAATACAGCAACACAAGGGGAATGACAGCAATGGTGGCAGTCAGATCGAGAAGGCCAGCGTGCTCCGTAGCCGCGCGTGGGCGGCGCGAGCTTACTTCCCACGGCCATTCAACTTGCCGTCGGCCGACGCGCGCCGCGCGCTTGTGAGGCAAGCCATCGAGCTACTCTCGCCTCGCTCTCACCACGACGATCTCACGCATGTCTTCATGTCTTGACTAGTCCTGCCAACGAATTATCGACAATGTTGCTTCAAGCGAGTAATATACACCCATATCGAGTCTGGCATGATTCAGAATCATCATAGCCCCAGATCCGCAAGCTCCTGAAGGTCTGCCTCGATGTCCTTCGTTTCGTAAACCTCCCATTCGTAAACCTCCCACTGTTTGCTGGCATAAGAATCCGTCAAACTCTCATCATTACCCTGGTCGCCCGACTTCTCCGCGCGGCCTGTGCCCCGGCCAATTTCGCTGGGAAGGCCAACACCCTGCTCCGACTTGAAGAAGTTCTCCCCATCCCAGAGCTGCTTGACGCGGCGCAGCTCCTCGCGGTTGCTGCCCCAGTACGCCTTTTCGCAGACGTCAGACGGAAGCGCACCGTCGGGGAAGTTGATGAACGCCGCCTCGCCATTGAGTGACAGCGGTCGTAGCTTCCTCTTGGCCTCGCCCAAAAACGCTCGCATATCACGCTCCATCCATTTATCCTCCCACTCAAGGGTGAGATACATGTGGTACACCGCCTGACGCCAAAAGAAGGCTGAGTCGCCAGGCTTCGGGGTGCTCATCTTGCCACCAGAATGAATGAAGGTGGCCAAGAACTCGACGCGCTCGCCAGGGAACGACTTGCGGAATGTGGTCATCTGATCATGTATCAGCGCTGTGACCTGTTCAATGGTGCGGCGGTCGTTCCCGAATACGAAGGAACTGTAGATGCTGTAGCTCTTGTTGGTCGGGAACGCCTTTTCCGTTTCTTCGGACCATTGCGCGACGAGCGTCTCGTGGAGGAACCGCGTCGACTTCTCGGGCAGCGAGCGCCGCTTGAGCTGCTTGGCTAGCTCCGGGTGCTTGATATACTGGTCGATGGTGTCGTCGAAGTCGTCCTTAGTACCGTCGAAGTACGCGAGGAACCGCACGCCGTTGCCCGAGTTCAGCCGAAGGTCGCAAATCCAAGTGCTGTCAATCGTCATGCGCTCGGGCCAGTCGGTTGTGTAGAACGTGTTCATCGTGGACATGAAGTCCCGCTGGTCCAATAGGTCTGGATCGGCCGTACCGGCAAACCATTGGTAACGCCCAGCCACGACAACGCCGCCCGGGGCTTGCAGCTGCTTGACCGCGAGCTTCATCTCTACTACAACACCATAGTTGCCGCCCCCGGCGCCGCACAGCGCCCAGAACAGGCGGCCCTCGTTCGAACTGCGACTGTCGGTGTTCGTGACCGTGACCAGTTTGCCTTCTGCCGTTACGACCTTGATCTCTTGGATAGTGTCGCTGCCCATGCCGATGCTGCGCGAGAACGGCCCGAGCCCGCCACCCAAGAGGAACCCGCCCACACCCACGAAGGGACAGCGACCACCATTAATCACGAAGCCATCGTGCCGTCCGTTGATGAGTGTCTTGTAGACGTGGCCCCATTGGCAGCCGGCACCAAAGATGATAGTTTTGGTTGCGATGTCGAGCTTCGTCCAGTTCATCCGGCACAGGTCGAGCGACACGCCCTCGAAGGCCGTCGAGTGTCCGGCGTAGGAGTGGCCACCGCATTTGATTGTGAGCGCGATGTTCTGGGTGCGGGCTTGTCGGACGATAGCCTGGACGTGCTCCGGTGTCTCGGGCTGCAGAACAAACTCCGGCCGCGCAAAGCGATAGAGCAGGTTCGGTGTTGCAACCGAGCGCTCGTACTCCTCATCGCCGCGCTCGAACACAGGAATGCGTTTGACTTTGAAGGCAGAGGCAGCTTTGCTCATGGATAGTCCTGGCACGCAGAGAAAACGGCGCACTCAGCGTGTCCTGATACGTGCCGAGATAAGGAGAGAACTGCTACAGACCATGAGGACATGTTGCGCTGAATTCGGGCCGCGATCCTACAGACCATGATGTACTAGAGACCACGATAGGAAAGTTGTACTCAACGATACGTTCCATTTGCTACTTTGACAGATGCGCGAGCGATAAGTTTAGCGCTTCTACCAGATGAAGATCTTCTTTCACATCACGGGCACATTATGTGACTGGACGGAAGACGAGGCTTGGAATGTCGTCGAGGCGCTTCAACGAAAGGAGCCTAGTATAAGAACTCCAGTAAGGACTCGATTGACACAGCTCTTTGTACCCTCTGTGCGGACACGATGGGCATTCACGAAGATATCCAACAGGGGAAGCTCACTAAAGCCACACTCGCCCAATACCTTGGTGACAACCCCAACATCCTCAACGAACTGGATTCTGCCACAGGCTATCCTCCTTTGGCCACCGCTGTTACCGCTGGCTTCTCAAGTGAGGTCGAGCAGCTGCTCACCAATGGCGCTAAAGCGGACGCGCTCACTCGGGATGGCGAGACCGCACTGCTGCTTATCACCCGTCCCAAGACCTTCAGAAACCGGCCCAGGATCGTTCAGCTCCTCCTTGACGGGATGTCTGCCGACTCTGTCGACGCTACTACCGCAGCTCATGGCAACAACACGCCACTGATGTTCGCTGTACTCAACGAGGACCACGAGTCCATCAGACTGCTTGCTAAGGCTGGCGCTAGTCTAACGGTCAAGAACGAAAACGGTCTGACCGCAAAGGAGATGGCCGACCGCGCGGCAGACAAGACTATTGCACTCTCACTGGACCCGAAGAAGGAGCGCGCGGCATTTGCGAGGCTGACGAGCTTGGTCGTTTCACTCTTGCTTTATATAGTCGCTTGGGTCAACAAGGCGATCAACGGTGTTGCGCGTCGATTATTCGAGCTTAATCCAGAGTTGAACGAAGCTGGTATCGATAAGGTATGTCGACTTGTGAATCATCATCATCATCGAGTCCTGCTTAATGATCTGTTTAGAAGATCAACCGAGACGGAACACCGGAGACGACAGAGTTCGTTGAAAACGTCGAGGCCTTCGTCAAAGGGAATCCGACGCTAGAACGCTTCTTCAAGGGCAATCCTTCTTACATACAGGATCTCGCCGAGAAAGCCACTGCGCTCAAGGCTGACCAGACCACGCCGCTCGGATCTCAAGACTTGCTTCCCAAGACAATCAAGGTGACTTTGCATCAGCAAGTTATCTACTGTGGTATGTCTCTCGAACAATGCTTAGTCTGGTCTGTCTAGTGACATTTGGTAGACGATAGTTCCTCAATGAAACGCGATGGACGCTGGGCTGCTCAGGCTACATTGGTCAATAAGATCGCGCAGATCACTACGCGTATCCTCCCGGAGGGTGACGGTGTTGCCCTTAGGTTCATCAACCAGGACGTAAACGACTCCTCGGAGAATCTGAGTCTCGAGCAGATCGGGAAGATCATGACCGGCATGAGCTGGAAGAAAGGTGGAGAAACCGAGATCGGCACCTGCCTGAAGTCCAAGATTCTCGACCCGTTGGTGTACCGCAAGTTGCAGGCGAAGACCCTTGCGAGACCACTCCTCATCTCCGTCATTACGGACGGCATGCCCTCCGTGGAGAATAAGGGAGCGCTCGTTGAGGCTATCAAGGAGTGTGGTGAGAAGCTTCAACAGGCCGAGTACCCTCGCAACAGTAAGTATGCCCATAGATCTGGCAGTTCGATCAAGTAACCCACGCGCATGCGTTCCCGTAGGTGTCAAGTTCATGATAGGCCAGATCGGGACGTCGGAAAAGGCGGCTAAGTTCCTCGAAGGAGTTGGGAAGGACACGAACATCGCCGACATGGTGTTCGTAACTACAGGTAAATGTCACATAAAACCTCAACATACTCTCGCACTTGATGGTCCCCTTCTTACCAAGTTGATTTCAGACCAGCTGGATGAGAAGCTATCTTCATTCAAGGAGAATGAGGGCAATCTAGACCGCTGGGTGAGAGCGCTGGCTATCCATTAGTCCTATTCTGATTGCTGATTGGCTTGTTTCAGCTGATAGAAACGTTATTCTCCCCTATCATGCAAACAGAGTAACTGTTGTGGAGACCCACGTCTGTTCGAATTAGCTTGTCAACTCATGCTCGCCTCGGGAAATGTACCATTCTTTGTGAACGAACACATGTATCAGAGTACTGATGAATACAATCAAGTACTGGTTCCCGCTCGTGGGCGCCACCGCTAATCCTAACCAGTGGGCGCCGGCATCCGCAGACAAAGTTTAATTGACCAACGCATTACTTCAGGCCATCAGCCAGCTCCGCGAACCCAACAGCTGCATCTTCGCCACCTCTAAAAACAGAGTACACGTTCTTGAGGAAGCTGTATACCCATGAGTATTATGTTGATGCACAATGATGGGGGGGACGTACGTATCGCCAATCAGCCAGTTAGGCAAGTCCGGTATGTCCGAGTTCCTGTCCGAGGCGTGAGTGCTCAAATGTCTAAGTACCAAGTGAAGACCGTACACCAAGGTCTCTTGTAGATCGAATACCGCGCCCAAGCACAAGCCCGTCGTGTTAGGAGCGGGACCAAGGTTCATGTCGTCTGCGAAAATAGGCCATGCTTTGCCTCCAAAAGAGAGCGTCGACGTGAGGTTGGTAGTGCATGCTGGAATGAGGTGCGTAAGGTTCGGGTATGCCTCATAGAGAAAGATATGAGCTTCACGCACGGTACTGGTACAGGCCGGTAGAGTTCGCCTTTTCGGAACCGTCCACCTTAGACCAGAAGGCTTCCACGGCCTTGGTCGGTCCCCCGATGAACTGTGTGCCGGTGTCAATCGCTGCTACGTTCTCTGTGTCGTTGCCAATGTCGAGAGCTTCCCCATCTAAGGTGAACTCTACAGATGCTCGTCAGCGACATCCTGAAGAAAGCCGATGGCATCGACAGGTAGAACTCAGCGTCGGCCAGCAGGATAAACAAGCATTTGCCATCGGCAACGCGAGAACTTGGAGGCGTTCGCCAACAACAGGTGTGGGTACTCACCCTTGACAGTCTGCAGCCAGACAGTGCGTGAGCCATTGGTGTTCAAGGCCAACGGCTGGAAGTCTATCTCTCCCTTATAGAAGCTATTGTTCGTCCCACCAAGAGTGAGAGTTCCTCCAGGGTTCAACACGGACGTATTGCCCAAGGGGCTCACACTGTCCTTGAACCTGGTGAAGTAGAAACTCATCTCGGGTTGATTGATCAGCCCGGCGTTGAACAAGGCCTGCCAAAAAGGAGTCGCTTTCGAGAAAGAAGCGTCGACGAACGCAAGTCCGAGCACTCCGCCCGTCGAGCCGGAGATTGGATTGGGGTGAAAGTCGGTGACCGCCGTGAACGTCTGATTAGCAATGGTGTATGACCCGAGAGTGACAGTGTCCTGGACGAGTATACCAGATACGCCGCCAGCACCGTAAGTGAGATTGATGGACTGCGACGTATCGTTGAGAGTGGAAGACTGGGATATGTTGAACTCGGGTGAACCGGCTGGGCAGTTGTCGCACGTTGACGCCGTGAACCACAGATCGGCTGACCCTGTGTCGAGTTGAACATCCAACGACTGCGGACTATTGCAAGCACCATATAAGTCACGGGCTTCGCCAGCAGTCCGTTCCACTCACGGAGTCCCAACTTCGATCCTCGCCAAATAATCATAATCGCCGCCCTACGAACACATGCGAAATCAGTATCACATTAAACGAGTAGTCGAAATTGTTCATTCGCTTGCGAACCTGGTTGATCATGTCGATCCCAACGATGCCGGTATCATTCGACCCGCAGGTCTTGACGCCGTACTTGGACTTGATGGAGTCCAAGGACCGACCCATTTGGCCCACATATCCGGTAGTACAACCGGTGACATCTCCACGGCGAGGCAGAGCACGGCGCACAAAAGGTAGGTGAAGCCCATCATTCTCCCGGGCTCCTATGTTGGGAAGCCCAGCGACAAGAACTGGAAGAGCGAATAGAGCAAAAAGCATGAGTAAAGAACTGAAGTGTTGAAGAAGTGGAACGCTAGCTGACGCTACAGTGGCATTGCGGCGAGTTCGAGTACTTATACCGGTCACAGCCAGTCTGACCGTCGACGTAATATCCTACAATTGTACAGTGACATCTTTTCCGGAAGTCGTCTTTCCGAAGAACTATCCCCTTCGTGAGGTCTATGCAGTGTATAGACCTCGTCATGAGTGTCCCTGAAACTGCCGGAACCGGTGTTGGTGCGAAGGTACTCCATGTCGGATTCGTTCACTACAGCAAACTAGTCGACATGGAGATGCACAGGACGCGACTGTGAAAAGGCGCATCATAGCGTAGGTGGCTGACGCCATTTGAATGTGACGAGTCGCGAAGCCTTGCCTTGTACAAGCCTGTACTCGAAGTCGGGGCCTTCCGGTTTGTTGCTGAGAGTGGTGGCGCTGAAGCCGTGCTTGTATGACTGTTGCCGGTATGAGAGAGATAGTCAAGGAGATAGTCGTATGACATGTTGGTGGAAGTGATGTGCGCGAACTCGGGGTTAACAGACGACCCCCGTAGTTGCCTCGCAGCTCGAGCGGGATTTCCTAGCGTTTGAAAGAGGCCTTCTCCCGCGTCTTCGTGATCACTTGATGCACTCCCATTGGTAGCAAATCGGCAATGAAATAGAAGCCGTGCGCATAAGTTGCTACTGGCGGGCGCTGCTTCCGCGCGCAAACCGTGGTCCGTGGTGCACGATGATGGTGGGCTGGAGACAAGTTGCCGCGAACCCGCGGCGCAACTATGTACCCGGCGCGCGGGTCCCTACATGCTCACGGCTCTGCCCTTTGACAGATCTACTTGGCGTATTTTCTGTCCAGTATAGCTATGTAATATCGTGAGGTACGGTACATGATTGAATTGCAGTAAGTCCGTACATGAAACAAGCAGGCAGCGAAGGAGTCAAGGAGTCAAGTATGCAATAACAATTTCCACCGAGGCACCGAAAGAATACGCGTGTCCGTGCGAGAGGAAAATGCGAGGAAAAACGAGAGACGAAACGCAGGTCTTGAGTAAGAACCCAGTTGGTGACGTGGTCATGTACAGTATTGTAGGTGGTCGTGGCAGGGGATCATGATACAGGCTAAACGTTATGGGCGATGGATCAAGGGCGGGGCGGCTTCTATGCCATGAAGACAGCCGTGGCGGCCGCGGCGGCCAACACCATCACGGCGCTTACGCCCTTGGCGCTCTTCGCGACGGCGCCGCTGGAGTTGCCGCCATTCGAGTTCGTGTTGCTTTGTCCGCCAGGCGTTCCGGCACTCGCGGAGCCCGAAAGCTCAGCGAAACCGACAGCGGGGCCGGGGCTGGCGCGGAAGACTGAGTACACGTTCTTGAGGAACCTATGCGCAGTAACAAGGTTAGGATACAGACTGAAGTGGACTGATACTGGAAGGACGTACGTGTCACCAACGATCCACGAGGGAGTGTTCTGGTTCGTTGTAGCTCCCTGGGTGACGTCGAAGATCGCACCTTGGCAGTAGCCTTGCCCAATGTTGCCGAAGTTAATATCCTCGGACTTGAGGGGCCAAGACTTGCCGCCGAAAGAGATGGTGACGCTCAGATCCGCGTCGCAAGCTACGAGGCATGACCATCAGCAAAGCAGCCGAAGGATTGACGAGGTGATAACGTACGGAAGGCCCACATGCCGTTCGACAATGACCGCGAGCCCGACACCTGACTCCAGAACGCTTCAACCGCCTGCGTCGGTCCACCAAGCAACGTCGTGCCCGTGTCAATAGCCGCCAGATTACTGCTCGCACTTCCAATATCCACCGTGTTCCCATTCAACGTCAACTGCGACACCGTCTGCAGCCAATAGCTCGGTTGGCTTCCACTGGGGAAATCGTTGAAGTCTATATCGCCCTGGAACAAGGTGGAGTTGGTGCCACCGAGTGTGAAGACACCGCCATTGGTCTCATCGTCGTTCGAGGTGACGGAAGCGGCGTTGCGTGCGATGTAAAAGGACATCTCGGAATTGGCCAGTTGACCATTGTTGAGAAGGGATTGCCAGAAAGGCGTTGATTGAGTGTTTGACAGCGCTTGGAAGCCAAGACCCATGATACCGGATACGGGACCGCTGATGATATTGTTCGATACCGTGGTCACGCCGGCTGAAGAAGGGAAGCAGATGTATATTTAGTTTCATAGTGATGATGGGTAAAGATCATGATACTCACTGACTGTGCCACCATTGACGGTGAAGCCTCCCATAGAGACGGTATCTGTCCCAGCCGTACCCGACGCCTGCCCTGAGCCGTACTGGAATGTGACGGAGTTTCCCGAGGACTTGTACGATGACGAGCCGCCGGTGTTGAACTCGGTCGTTCCACTCGGACATGACGTACATCCCGTCGTCGCCACCCAAAGATCGCTTGAACCGGTATCCAACACGACATCCAAGTTCTGCGCTCTAACTGGGCGTCAGCGTTTCCGCATTCGGACATAGCGCGCTAGCAAGGTACTCACGGTGTACCGATGCCCACAGTACCGGTGTACGACGAATCGAAGCCGACGTCCGTGATCTGAATTCCAGTCCCGTTGCTCTGCCTGCGGTCCAACCCGCGGTTCGAGCTGCTGGACACGCCGTAGTACTTCCCCCGTACACCGTCTATTATCGCGCTTATTCGCTCCGTGTCCGCGTCGCCATTCTCTTTGCGCAGGGACGGAGTGCGCCTAGTGACCGGAATGTGTATTGCGGAGCCTGGTAAGGGCTCAGGCGCCGGAGCGGCCACGGCGTACGAAGCGAGAGCGAGAGCAGCTATTGAGGGCAGCATTATAAGGTTCGAATTTCTTCCCAGCAGAGCAAGAAGACAGAAGACGAGAGAAGGTGAAGGGAAGAAGCAAGTGAGGAAACGGGCCCCAGGCCGTAATCGAACGTCAAAGTATAAAGACACAACAGTAAGCTACGTCCAAGCGGAGAGGTCAGGTCCCGTATGTAAGCCTGTGTTTGCGCAGTCTGGGCTGAGACTTTTCAGGCGCACCGCCTCTTCCCACCCACCACCACACTAGCGGGGTTCTGCGTTTTACTTATGCCTATATTCCTATCTCGACTGCGCTACTTGTATACGAGTAGCAGCATAGAGGCTCTATGCGGCCAATGCCTGACGATGGACGTGTGTTATGGTCAGCGCCAGTGACGACACTGACGTCTCTGTGGGCCGAGGCACGCTGCTTCAGCTTGGGCCCGCCTCGTGTTCTCTTGTCTCCGGATTGGCGCACAGCACAGTTCGCTGGGCGTACTTCTGACCCACATATTCGTCCGAAATGGCGGGTAGAAACGAGGACGTTTACGTGCCGCGGCAGAGCGAAGACGCGCGAAGCTCGGCGGCAGCGCTTATTCCACGGCTTCTGTAAGGCACATACTTGTCGGTCTTGTGGCACATCCTCTAATTCCCAAAATGGTAGCCTACGTACCGATAAAGCCGCGTGCGTATGGTTGCTCGGACCTCGCCAGATGCCGTGGTCAACGGTCCCGAACGCGCACTTCACGTCGATCAATACCATCCCTCTATCCGATTTCGCCCCGTCTGAACGGCAACCACCCATTATATCGCCACGGCCAACGACGGTGCATGCGTCGCTGGGCCGAGAATGCTGGCCAGACGCGCCAGGAATAGAACAACATATGGATGTGGTCTTTTGTGAGCGCGAGTAACGCGGCGGGTGGTCCATTCATTGTGGTTGTTACGGATATGGTATAAAAGAACACCTCGCCTGCCTTACCATTCTCCAACCTGCTTGCTCTCTGCCCGTCTCCTGTGTCTCCATACCTCTCGCTCCCTGCTCTTCTCGATGAAGTCCATCGCTATCCTCGGCGCTTTGGTCGCCTCCTCGCTGGTCGGGGCACTCCCACTCTCTATCCGTTCATGCTCGGATGACTGCGACTGCAACACACCCGAGTCAAGTTCGAGTGGCAACTCTACGGTGGTCAACGGCACGGCTCCGTATATCGCTGCAAGCTGGATCCAGGACTTCAAGACCAACTCCTCTTCGCTCGCTACTCTCAACTTCGACAAGTACACCCACATGACCTATGGCTTCGCGTACGTCGCATTCTCCATATCGCACTATGACGCCGAAGTACTGATGCCTTCGTAGATCGACTGAGGCGAACGGCAGCCTCACAATCGACAGCACTCATGAAGACGGCCTTCTCGCATTCGTCAACTTGACAAAGCAACATGGCGTCAAGTCATTGCTCTCATTGGGTGGTTGGTACGGTCAGTCATTCCTTTGCGCTCTTTCCGTGACTGGACCCGAACTTACATTTACACAGGCGGCCGATTCTTCTCCAACCTCGTCGCCACGCCCGAGAACCGCACCGCGCTCACCAACACTATCCTCGAACTTGCGTCAAAGTATGACCTTGACGGCATTGAGTTCGACTGGGAGTACCCGAACAACACGGGCGCGTGCAACTCTTTCGCCGGAGCCGATGCGTCCAACCTCGTTTCACTCGTGCAAGAGCTGCGCAACAACACCGCCGGACAAGACATGATCCTCACATCGACAGTCTCCGGTGTGCTCTGGACAGGGACCAACGCTACGAACGATCCGAACGTCCTCGCGCTGGCGGACAACCTCGACTACATCTCCATCATGAACTACGACGTCTTCGGCACATTCTCCGACTTCGCTGGTCCTAACGCGCCGCTCGACGACACTTGCGCGACGCCGGAGCAGCAAGATGCTGGCTTTTCGGCGGTACGCGCTGTGGACGCATGGAACCAGGCCGGCGTACCGCTCAACAAGCTCGTACTCGGAATCCCCACCTACGGACACTCATACTCCGTTTCTCCCTCGATTGCCACAAATGACAACTTCACGACGCTCAACACTCACCCCGGCTTCGACAATACGATACATCCTCTCGGATCTCAAGATAACGGTTCGAACGAGACCTTCGTCGACGTCTGCGGAGTACCGAACCCTCCATCAGGCGATTGGGACTTCGCCGGGCTCGTCACGGCAGGATACCTCAATGCCACAGGCGGATTCAACGAGTCGATGACGAACGCGCATTGGATGTTCGACGAGTGCGCGCAGACGCCTGTGCTTTATGATGAGGGGAGCAGCGTTTGGATCTCGTATGATGATCCGCAGAGCTTCAGGGCTAAGGGAGAATTCATTGCTGAGAAGGGGTTGGCTGGGTTTGCGGCGTTCGAGGCGTATGGGGATGTGAATGACGCGATGTTGGACGCTGTGCGCGCTGGCGCGGGGTTTGACCAGGTTCAATGAGGACCTGCTGTTACTGTACATTCTGTTCTATCTGGGCTCGTGTTGTAGCATAGACTTTTCTTCTTGCTGTAGACCAACGCATAATGAAAGCGATTGTAATCAGCGTTTATGCCTACGAGGCGCGCGGCGGTTGCCGCAGGCTTGTTCGATCGCCGGTGCGTGACTGGAATGATGTCACGAAAATCATGTCTTTTCCCGACCACCATCTTTGTCCAAATCTGGCTACGTGCATACCCTGCAGGCCTCGCATCTTCCGACACACATGAGCGCCTAAGCTCTTCTCAGCGAACTTGTCGCGATATATATTCTCTTGTTTGACGCGATATGCCAACCCTCGCGGCTCTACTCGGTCCTTCCCCCGTTCTCTATGACGGCGGTCAGGTTCACCTTATCTCGCTCTTGGGCTTTGTTATAGACTGAAATCGCGTGCAGGGAACCACTCTCGCAGACTTCTACAGCGCGGACACATCGTCGCCTGTGTGGTCTTCAGCTGTAGTAGAGACCCATCCTGAAATCCTTGTCGACATGATTGTACGCTTCATGAAAGCTGGAGCCCGTGTCGTCAATACTGCTACGTGCGTATCTTCATTCTGTAAACACACACTCAAACGCATTTAATGTGTGGCTACGAAGATACCAAGCGGCGTACAGCACGTATGCACTCGCAGGCCATCCCGAGCCTCAAGATGCCGAACGCCTGATGCGCACCGCCGTCCACCTCGCCGCAAAGGCACGAGATCAATTCGCTTTGGCTTCTCCCGCGCAATCGCACGATGCCAAAATTGCACTCAGCCTCGGATCGTTTGGCGCGACGCTCGTACCAGTTGCGCACGAGTTCGACGGAGTGTATCCTGCCCCATACGGCCCGGCCACACCATCCGCTCGGTTTCCTCCAGAACAAGACATCGAAGAGAAGGCAGCCGAGGATGCGCTGATGAACTTCCATCTCGAGCGACTACGCATCTACGCCCGCGATAAGGAGACATGGAACGAAGTCGACATGCTCGCCTTTGAGACTGTCCCACTTCTGCGCGAGGTACACGCTATACGAAGGGCCGTCACTGCGCTGTACGACGAGGGCGCTGAGGAGAAACCGTGGAGCGTGAGCACGGTGTGGGACGGAGGTGCATTTCCTGAAGCTCAGGAAAGAGAGGTGGAAAGCGCTGTGAAGGAGGTCATGGACGCGTTCTTCGGAGAGCATCAAGGCGCGCGGCGGCCTGATGCGTTCGGCGTGAACTGCACACTATTTGCAGATGTAGCACGCATCGTGCGAGCCGCATCAAACCATCTACCGCTCGTCCTCGCAAGTGATTCTAGAGAGGAGAAGCCGTGGCTGATGGTCAAACCGAATGGAGGGAAGGTGTATGATCCTGCGGCGAAGACTTGGTCGGATGATCCCCGCGCAGGCGGTGAGGGTTGGGAAAAGAGGCTGGCGACACTCGCAAGGGCGACTGAAGCGATTGGCGTATGGGGTGGTGTGCTAGTGGGAGGGTGCTGCAAGACGGGATTCGAGGAGATTCAGAGGCTTGGGGAGGCGCTGTGACCGGATGTGCCAGTGAAGGAGAAAGTGTAAAAACGCGATCACGTGGCTTGCTGAGCTGCTCGAGAATACATTACGTCGCGCCCGTACCGCATTTGGAAGACTTATCCTCACGCCCGTCTCCCAGTAAAAACGCCTACACGTCAGCGCAATGCTGTGTGCAACTTGAAAAATACGCACTGTGAGATGTCGAGGACCTATTATGTCTCGTGCCGCACCGGCTAGATACGGCGTGATCTCGTGAGGAATTCATGACGTCGCACGCGGCGACCCACTCGTTCGGAGTCCTTCCGGATCCGATCCACCTATCTCTTGCCTATATACCGCCACCATCGCTTCTTATCTTGATCAACATCCTCCGTCCTTTACATAGCCAAAATGCCTCAGACTCTGAAGGGATCCTGCCATTGCGGCGCCGTCTCGTTCAGTCTGCAGAGCAGCAGCCCAGTACCGTACGTTTTTAGGCTCCAGGCTCGCCGATGACTATCATGCTGACTCTTCTCTTCTTCAGTTTTGCTCTCTGCCTCTGCTCGATCTGCCGGAAAGTCGGCGGCTCAGGCGGGAGCATCAATCTGGGTGGAATCGCAGATACACTCGAGGTGCAAGGCAAGGAGAACCTCAGGTGCGCTTGTACTCACACGAGCGTTTTGTTTCAAAAAGGAATCGATGATCTGACATGTTTTCAGCGTATACAATGCCGTGTTGGCGAACCGTTGCAAGAAGAACGAGAAGCGCGCAACATCCGAGCGCAACTTCTGCAAGCAGTGTGGCACGATGCTCTGGCTGTTCAGCCCAGAGTGGTGAGCTCGACTTTCTGAGCGTCTCACTTTAGGGTAATAACGTCTGCATGCAGGCCTGAACTCATTCATCCATACGCATCGGCCATCGACACGCCCCTTACACCTCCGGAGGAAATGGTACGTCGTTCGCAATGGGCACTATCGACAAACTTCCTGAGTGACCCTTCTGTAGACGGTCTTGATGCTCGATTCAAAGCCAGACTGGGTACGCTTGCCGGAGGGGAAAAAGAAGACGTTCGAGCATTACCCGGACGAATCACTCGAGCAGTGGCACAAGCGCCACGGCTTGTGGGTTGAATGATCTTCAAATAAGATAGAACAATGCCGGGGTGGGGCTCAATGCTGCTGATGTTGTACGATAAGGGTAGAAGTAGCTGATATGGCGATCTCTTGTGGATTATATCGTTGAAGTCCGGCTTCCCTTGATGCCTACACGTAAGCTCTCTTGGAAGAGAGAGCTTTATTGACTGACCTCGCCCTGAATTGGGGAACACCCACAGGCGTAAGCAATCCTCGTCAATCTAATCTCATTACTATGGTAGATACGCCGAGACTCCGAAGCACGTATTGTATCGTACAGTAAGTTATATTATGCAAGTCCAAAGTGAGAGAATATCGGGGGCCGTGAGCGAGAGTGGCTGGGGCCCTCACAACAACCTCACGACGTTCATACTCGGTGCATCGGCCAAAGCGCCAAGCAGCATACTATGTCACGGCCATTACAACTCTTGATAGATGTGTCTGCCGTACTCGCCGAGTTGTATTGGATCGTCTGTACAAACGGAGACAGTGCTCCGAGCCAGGAAGGAGAAGGCGTAAAACGCGATCACGTGGGTTATCATGCCTGACAGGTGAATATCGCTTCGGCCAGTCTATTGCATCCTCGTCTTAAAAACCACGCGTAAAACGCATCAAAATCTGTACCCATACACTGAGTCTCTCTCAAGAGAGGTCGGAGAATGCGTCGTACTCTACATCAGTCGAGTAAGGCGTGAACTCAAGAGGGACTCGTGAGGAAACCATGGCGTCGCACGCGGCGCCCGAAACCCGTTCTGAATTTGATGCGCTCTCACTTAAAAGGCCGCGCTATCTGACCATCTTGTCCGCACACTTCCTCCCCAGGAATCTCAAATGCCTCAGACCTTGAAAGGATCTTGCCACTGTGGCGCAGTCTCGTTCAGCTTCGAGAGTCATAGCCCAGTACCGTAAGCTCCGGCGAAACAAGCGCGTCCATTACTCTAAAGAAGACCCTTTGTTTCAGTTATGGGCTCTGCCTCTGCTCTATCTGCCGGAAGGTCGGTGGTTCGATTGGTAGCATCCACGTCGGCGGAATCGCGAGCACCCTCGAAGTGCAGGGTAAAGAAAATATTAGGTTCGTCTGGGACACTCGCAACTGGTGGCCTCGTGTACTTGCAAATGATGGTTATACTGACAATTCGCCAGCGTGTATTATGCTGTGATGGCGAACCGCGGACAAGAGAACGAAGAACGCGCGACATCAGGACGCAACTTCTGCAAGCAGTGCGGCTCGATGCTCTGGCTCTTCATGCCGCAGTGGTGAGGTCGACTTCAGTTAGCTGATGTCATATATCTGATATTGGCATTCTCAAGGCCCGAGAGCATTCTTCCATATGCATCGGCTATCGATACCCCGCTCCTGCCGGCGGAGGAAATGGTGCGTCCAAGCTGCCGTCGGTCGCGGTTGTCGATAGGCACGCTGAAGTGTGACCTGTACCTGTAGGGCGTAATCATGCTTGCCTCAAAGCCGGACTGGGTGCGGTTGCCAGAGGGAAAGAAGAAGACGTTCGAGCATTACCCTGACGAGTCCCCTGAACAGTGGCACAAGCGCCACGGTCTGTGGATTGAGTAACATGGTAGTTGGCGTCATTCGGGAGCCAGAACGCGACTTGGTATAGAATAGTAGTCGTAAGGATTGGGAGGAGCTTGAATGATAATGATCTTGCCGTCGTACACGCGCGATGGTGTCTGTTTGCGGGGCCCGAGCTGTAAAGATGTCCGTAAGTTGCGCTTCGCTCGGGTATGGCCCATCGCGGGTGTCTCGTTGATACGTCTTGTGATGAACGACACGAGGCCGGCCAGCGTAAGAACGCACTAACCGCGGGCTACAGTCAGTTCAGCCGAATCAGATACAAGTGCACTTCGTCCGGACGGTTACGGGGGTTGACAGGCCTCTCGACGGTAGAGACCGAAAGATTCCCACATCGTGTCCGCAGATGGGTCTGGATGCGTACTAACTGTTGTAGTTTCTCAGCTCGCGAGGACCTTGCCAAAGTGATGCTTTGGCGGCTCTTCGTAAGGGCACATCAGGGAGATGACGGACGGCCAAGCGATGCTAGCATGGCACTCGTCAAGAAAGTACGAGGTGATCAACCTTGCAGACCGCCCATATCGAAGTACTAGGACTTGGCAGTATAGATTAGCAGCAGAGGGACATCTACGTGATAGTGCGGTGTGTATACATCTCTATGCGGGCGGCCATCTCAGCTGATCTCATCCGGGGAGTTGAGTAGGCGATTCGCCATCTCAAACCCGAGGAAGGTTGCTCCATTCGCGAACGGTGACCTATGCCCACGTCAACACAGGGTTCAAGTACAAGACACATATGTGGTTAGACGCACCGGATGAGCGTGGGGATGAGTCCGCGCGTGAAGGCCGCGGGGCCCTCGGTTGCGAGGACTGTGCGGAAAGCGTGCCATGCGCCTGAGTACTTCTGGCCTGTCGCCGGTGAGAAGCCGTCTGTTTGCATACGTGACTTGATCATGTCGATGGGGTAAATGATTGCCCAGAGCTGAGCGCGGAATGTCAGTGATTGAACACGGAGCGCGCGCGATGGACAGGAGGAACGAAGCGAGCGCGTGAGACGAGTACGATCGTCCCCGGTACGCGAAAGACCGGTCGACAAGAATCGTATTGGGCTGCAATATGACCGGTGCGCGTGTAAAACACACAGCAACTACGTCTTGCAGGCCCCGAGCGCAGCAGAAGGCAGATACAGCCCAGCAGAGATGAACGCAGATGCCCCGCGGGGAGACGCCCAGATAGACGCTGATTACCCCTAGTGCAGTACGCATCGTGTCCAACGCGTGTGATGGAATTCACAGCATTGGCAGGGGTAGAAGACTGGTTGGTAAGAACTTACCGCATATCCTGCGGCGGCGCCGTAGAGAACGGCGTTCGCCGGACTGATCTGGTCGCGCCTAATGCCCTTCACGCGCATCTCGCGTTGCACTAGCTTCTCATAGACAGTGAAGTACACGCCATAGCCAGCTGCCTCGCGCAGGAACGTAACGTTCTGGCCCTTGAATATACCGCGAATCCCGTGCGCGGCGTGGATCTTGCGGATCGCGTCCCAGGGTCCATTGTACAACTTCGCCTTGTCCGGCTGCGTTTGTAGACCTGGGGACATGATGTCAGCCATCGCGATATAGATAGGTATGAAGATTAACATGGGCAAGGAACGGAGGCTGGTAATGAAAGAACGGAAGACGGAGAGACGTCGGATGGGGGAAAGAATGAGGCGGCGTCTTTTGACGCGAGCGTGGGCGTGGCGCGACGCGTGGTAGACGCGTGCAGGTCCTCAGACGTTGAGACTGCCTATACGGGCGAACTGCACCTGTTAGGCCTGCGACGTCTTTGCCAAGGCGGTGCGTAGACATGGGCAAAGAAGACGTCAAACCGCACATGCAGATAAACTCATTGCACCACGTATGTGGTGACACTCCCTCCGGCCTGCATGGCGTTCACTTCGGGTCGCGCATCGCTTCCTTGAAGTTGCCGATACGGGCAGCACAGAAGCGCAGGGCGACCCTGCGTGCATGCGGAGGCGTGTATACGATTCAGGCCAGAACAGCCGGAGGTGCAGATAGACAGGCCACGCTGAAGCGTCATTGTGCCACCCAAAGAGTTGCTTTCGACCAGTAGTCTGGCCAACTTCACGCGCTCTCCCGCGCGAATCTCAGTACTGCCCAGGGAATTGCAATGCCATTTGGACCGGCCAATGGCGAAATTGAAGAAACGGGGAAGGTTTCCCATACGGATAAACAGTAGAACTCACGAATTCGTATGTGTTCCACAGGGCCGGACACAAAGCCGTTACCGAGACCTGCTGCGATACCGGCGAACATGAGCTGGTCGGCGCTGAGTAGTTTTCCATCTGGTCCACCGAGTCCTCGTGCCAGGTTACGCTCAGTGAATTCGCGTTTCACATATTCCAGCACGGCGAACTGGATTGACACGCAGACTCCGATGCCGAGTAACGGTGTCAACGTGCCCTACGCACATCCCATAATGTATCAGCATATGCTCCAGAACAACGATGGCACAGCAACGCGCCTTGTAAAATGCCAGCGGGCCCTCGTTTTTTAGAATGCCGCCTGCGCAGTGCAGCATGCCATTGTACGTGCCCTTGGGCGCTGTTTGCATGCGCTGTCGGTTGCGAAGAGAACGGTTAGACTTTCGGAACATGTAGCACACAAGTAAAGCCCGCACCACTTTGACAATGTCGAAAGGCTGGCCGACGAGAACCTGTTGGGTTGCACGCGCGTAGTACAGTGAGCGTGCGGCACGCGCAGGCGGGTGCGAGCGGGTTGGGTCCGGACCTGGGCAATGC